ACAACGACTGGCTCCAAATATCGAACTCATTATATTGGATAAACATAAAAAAGATCTTTCATTCGCTAAATTTAAAAACCTTGTACTAGGTGTTCTCTGATATTGGTATGTTGCAATTTTGCCACTATCCATATCTTTCTTCAAGGCAGGTACTCAAAAACCAACCCATTTATAAGGAGAGGTTCAAAATACACGTCTCTTCAAATATAAAAAATATACGCAAATTTTGAAATTACTTCTCTTAAAGTAGGGTTCATTGGTAACTATAAAACCATACTAATCTTGTTCTATTCAAGTCGATGTTCGCTGACTGATTTCAAAATGTGTTCTAACAATTTAAGTCCTGTCGATTGCCTATTTCTGATATAATCTCGATGTTCATTCTAACGCACTTTCAATAGTCTTGAAAGTTTCATCAATATAACTTTTACCACAAGAAGGAGGTATTTTATAAATACCATTTTTTCTTTCCTCAGAGTTGTTGGGTTTTGTATGTGTTAGTATTGATCTCAGTATCTTTGTTTTTTTGTAAGAAGTTCTAACATAATATCTATTTCCAAATTTTTTAGTAGTTCTGGAAAGTATAACGTTAGTTCTGAAACGTGTCATTGGTTGTTGAGTCAGTAACTGTTGAGTTGGTGGGTGTTGAATTGGCAATGCTGTTTGTTGGTTTTAAATTGACTGTTTGTTTTCTATTGCATTTATTGTCAAATCTATGAACAAATCTGGGTAAGCATTAGTTGAGTAAAACATATGGAACATTTTGAAGAGTCTTTTGTTGAAACTTTTAGTTGAGTTTAATTTTACAGTGTAATCAATTATTATCAAACCCATGGGGAAAACTTAATACCACTATACATATTCAGGTAGAAATAAAAACAAATTTCATTCAAAGTATTCATTTTAATTAACACATTAATGAAATATATATTACTAAAAAAAATTGTAAGCAAAAAAATAAATAATTGTTAAAATGCTTTGGAAAAATAAAATCACTGCAGGTTCTTACTGCTGCTTCCTTTATTGTAGAGTTAAAATAATACTGCAGAAGGAATGTGAAAATAATAAATAATAACAAGTAATTTCTACCTCGCACCCTGGCGAGAGCTGTAACAAAAGTAACAAAGTTTTCATATACTTTTATGGTTCTACATAAGACAAACTCCTAGTAATATTTCAATTTCTCTCGTCAAATTACTTTGTACTTCCCCTTAAAAAATGAAAAAATAATATGTTATAAAAATATTCCGTTGTTGAGAAAAGATCAATATGAAAGAGAAAAATTAACATTAAATGGAAAGTAATCAGTTGAGTTTGTTCTATTTTTTCGACATACAATTTTTTATTCTATTTTTTGACTTTATGATGCACTGTTTGGAACCTTTGGTGTAGTAATGAATATTACTGGAGTTTTTTCCCAACACCAAATCGTTATTTTTAAAACCTCGACACGTGTTTCGATCACCAAGTGATCATCTTCAAAGAGGAAGATTAAAACTCTCTTTCTCTTTGAAGATGATCACTTGGTGATCGAAACACGTGTCGAGGTGTTAAAAATAACGATTTGGTGTTGGGAAAAAACTCCAGTAATATTTATTTTTTGAATGTTCCGTACCTTATTATCGTTACTTTCAATACCAGCACTCACCAGAATATCTGTATCATCTATACATGTTCATACTAAATGGTAATAAAATCCCTGTAATTATTGTTGCAGTGTGTATCTTCTGTGCAGAGGTGGTGTTGAAGAAACAATATTCAAAAGAAACTTGTTGAAACAAAATATTCAAAAAAAGATGAAGTTTCCCTGTACAATAACTTTTTTAAAACAATAGCATATCTAATATTAATATTATTGAAGAGGCTAGTCTAACACATAGTGGGGTTTTGAAAGATCGGCTCTTCCGGATTTGCTCATTACATCTAGTCCAGTGTTCTGGTCATATCTGTAATTCTTAAATAGCAGCATGGGTCTAAACAAAAATCACATTCAAGTTAGATCAAACAATTTGTTTTCCCAAATTGCAGAAGAATAAAGAAAAACTAAAAAAATAATTGGCACCTATGTCACCACCAACAAGCTTGATAATTTGACAAAATAACTCAAAAGTACTATTATAAATCTGGATTCCAGCAGATTTACTTTGCTAAGCTTTCACTTCTCACTGGAGAGCTTCCTCAGAGCTGTCTGTAATTTATTGAGTTATGATTTTTTTCTTTGAAAAAAACTACAAAGTTATACTTACGGTAAAATTCGTAGAAATTCTCAAAGAAATCTTCGAATTGTTTGTAATTCACAAAATTTCCTGAGTCGAAGTTTTTACCTGGTTTTATACATTCTACAACGGATGTTGTTTCCTTGCTATCAACTCTTATCTTTTTTGGAGATACTCAATGATGGCTTCCTAAATGGGTCCTATCAGATCATTATACTTTATGTGAAGGTAAAACTTTAGTCAAACAAAAAAAAAATCATACATTTGAATTGAAGGGGATATATTTTTAGGAGTGATTAATTTTTGGGAAAGAAAGTTTTTGGCTTTCTACTACTCCATCTTGATACAAAATAAAGGGATGAGGGAATCTTCCAAAGAAAGGAAGAAAGCAATGAATTTAAAAATAAGTAACTCTACATGGAGCAAGTGTCTTAAGGCGAAACATCGGTGTATACCAGTGAGGGTGACAGTGTTCCATGTAAGTGCAATTTATTACCATTCATTCAAAGTAGAACTCATGCGAATGATATCTAATTTTTATTCCACAACGAATGTTTGAAATACAAAATGAGTAGAGAAAAGTATCTTCTGTATAATTCAGTGTTCATATAGAAGTATTTGTTTCGAAAGAATTTTTTCTTTCGTGTAATTCAATGTTTATATGAAAGTAGCTGTTTCAGGAGGACTTTCTTTCAGTTTGTGTCTGAAAGTTACTTCTTTGTATGATCTACACATCCATGTATATAGTTACTTATTTTCAATTTGATTACTTTTTCCTTTCTTTGGAAGATTCTCTCATCCCTTTATTTTGTGGCAAGATGGAGTAGAAGAAAGCCAAAAACTTTCTTTCCCAAAAATCATACATGTTTTTGATTCTTTTCACCAATTTATATGTTTAAATTATCATTTTTACTGCAAGTATAATTTTGTAATTTAATTCAAAGAAAAACTCCTTAACACAATAAAGTGTAGCTCTGAAGAAGCTTCTCAGTGAGAAATGAAAACTTGGCAAAGAAAAGCTTTGACGCTATTCTTCACAAAGTGAAGTGGTGTTTCGGGTGTACATCCGTTCGTCTTTGATACAATCACGACGTTTCGGCACTTGACATATTCATGTGCTCTGCTTGGTAGCTGAACTTGAATCTGAAGTCGTCCTTGGGTCCTTGCTGCTCAAGTATTTTATTAATTTGGGGTTTTGCTATAGGCTTATGCTATAGGCTTATGCCTCTTCAGGGTTATTGGGTCCTTTTCGATGCTTGTTCATTTATAAGCTGCCATATGCACTGATTAGGGCGTGGACTGCCCCAATCAGTGCCCCAAGTTTACCTTAGAAAGGAAGAGAAACAACAGGTTATCTTTCTTGGATGTATAGTTGAAAGAAAACCCAACAGGAGAATTTAGCACATAAGTAGTCCACAGAAAACCAACACATACTAAGATACCTAAACATAATTATTCTGGAATAATCCAGTGACATCTATCAGTCACTGACATGCAAATGATAGCACATTCTAAAATGAAAAGATATTCATCATTTTGAATTGAAATTTACCCATACTTTTGAAATATCTTTGTATTTGAAATTTTGAGCCTTGACAAAGATAAAGATTACCGAAAGCCCTGAAGCCTGGGCCTTACATTTATATTCAGTCAAAATAACTGGTCAACTTTCATTTTATCCTTTGTAAATGGAGATCAAAAGAATTGTTCAAGAAGATGAGCAACTTCACATAATTAAAAGGACTTTATATACATACTGACATCTAAAGCAATTTCAGTTATCACATTTGGTTACTACAAAAATAATTTGCTAGTGGTACCTAAACGAATTCAAGTGCCAGTAGGTAAAAATATATTTTTTTGACATCATATTTCATACTGTTTATTATTAATCTATTTTGTTGAAAACAGATATTATAAACATAGTCAAAATATAACAATATAAAATTTGAATCTCCAAAAGAAATATATTTCGTATAAATACAGAGTAGTCTATTTGTGTTAAATATTAATTGAAAATTACAAGAGATATGAGGACTGTACATCAAAAAGAAGCTATCTGTGATAACATTGTGTGGTGTTTCAATATTTTTACAGTATATTTCGAGAATGATGAAAAAAAACGAGATGAATCAATTCGCGACTTCACTTAATTCACGAAAACTCATGTAAAGAAATAGTCTATGAAAGAAAAGTGTACAAGGTACGTACTTCCAATTTGACCAATGATTAACCAGGTTACCATTTTTTGCTGCCTGGGATTTGTCTGACTTGTCTATTTCTTCTGGGCTGATTGTGTTTTCCTCCTATCTTTTCATAACACCCGTTCCAACAGTTTTGAAATAGTTTGTACAGGACCATTGTTGGATGATTGTCATACTCTTTCGGGCATAATCTGAGCGAAACATAGAAAGCTGTCTGTCCCTTTGTTGCATCGTCTGCAGCTAAGGTCTTGTTGTACAGCTCTATTTTATTCAGGTCCCTTCTAAATACAGTGTTCAGTAAGTAGAACTGTAATTATTCCATTGAAATTGCAAACAAATTTTAAAGGAACAAAGTTCTGTAGCACAACTATTTTCTGTCCTCCAAAAAACTGTGAAGCAAAATTCTTGTTCTTGATAGTAGTTTAATTTCGAAGGAATATTTTTTTAAAATCTTTTTGCTTTTACAGAAAAATGTGTTCATAAGATCCAAAAAAGGCGAGTTCACATCTGCCGATGTCAATCTATTAATGGACCCCAGTCATTATGGTAGAAGAAAAGGGAATAATTATTCAAGCCAATAAATAAATATAGGTATGCTGTGTATTTAAAGAATAATTTCCAATATGATCTTACATGTAGAAACACAGAGTTGAAAAAGACTTACAGGGGATCAAGACAAGAACGATGAATTGAGGAGCACCTACAAGGTTCTAATGAAATACTAATGCCGATGTATTTGGAAGACAAAAACTAAGCAATCTCAATTAAACAATTAAAATTACAAAAAAAGAGAGGGGAAAACATATAGAAGAGTTCAAAAATAAATAAATAACTGTTCATTTATCAAAAAATAACAGTAATGAAACGTTAAGTTTTAAACTTGATTCTTATTTTATTGGTCCTTCCTTGCCAGTACTTCAAATAATTTCTGAGAATGAAAAATGCAATACCAATATGAATTTCATTCTAATGAAACACTAAATCAGGAGTGTTTTTTACACTACTAAACATTGTTATAACAAATAAACTACCCAATACTTATAATGGCTGCATGGTTTTTACCCACTTAATGTTCAGTTTTCTGAATATTTTCAAAGTGGTTAAATTCTAGATGACAAGTACCTAATAATCTCTTAATGAATAAATAATTAATATTTAGGCTGATATTAGTCTAGTGTTTATTTGTGTTTCTTCAATGATTAAATTAATATCATCTTTTTCTTCTTGTTCGGCTTCTTCAAGCCATTGTGCTATTTCAACAGCATACATATGATGCTGAAGGACCTCTCTAGTGCGCCTTCTTCTCCCTGTGTACGCAACAGTACCCTGAAAATATTGTGAATAAAAACTAAAGCAATTTCATTCTTACTTAAGTTTACCCCAACTACAAAGTCAGTTTGCAGATTTTCTAACATTTTTACATCTTGAACTTGAATCATAAGGGAATTCCAATCCACAACAACATCTTCATGTAACATTAATTCCTCTGTAAAAGAACATGTTGTAATATTAATAATGCTAATGTGAATGTGCAATCTGTATGTTTTTGAACTTTATGTTGGTAAAACCTGTACCTGTGAAATAGCACAAGTGGTAGTTTGCCTGACTCACAATCCAAAAATAGTCCATTATCATGAGAATGTATCAAGTTGACACTGGGTTCTTATCAGAAGACTGCATCAACTATTATAGTAGTCGATGCAGTTAGATCGAAAAAAACACCTAAATTTACTGAATGAAAATTAAAACAAGCTCTTTGTAATTTATGGCGATAACTAGAGAAAGAAGAAAAGTGACAGGAACTTCAAAAAGTAAGAAAAACAGCCTGAAAATGTTAAACAAATTGATAATACAAATGAATAGCATAATTCCAGAAAAACAGTGAATTGTGAAAGTGACCTCAGTGACTCAGAAAACTATGTGAAATATAATTTCTCAAAATACCCTGACAATACAGTCACAAATAGCCAAAGATCTGTGTTGGATAATTACAAAATTTGTACTCAAGATAAAGAAAAGTGTGGCCCATCTTCAGCTATGAATGCCTCGGCGTTAAGAATGTCTATCTAGTAAACTAGAAGAGGAAAATTCTTTATTGAAAAAAATTATAATCGACAAGAAAATCATTATATCAGACAAAAAAATAAAAAACCTTTAATTTGACAAAATAAGTGTCAGAAGAGAAATTTGAAGCGGGATTTGAACGAATATTTTTGATTTAAAAATGTACGCCACTGACTTTTGTGCAATTTTTATCATCTCTTTGGATTAAGCAATTAGAAATACAACTTTTTTCTCTTGAATTTTTTCGTATCTTGCTTAGTTTTTAAGAAAAAAAAGTCGACCTAATTGTTTATCCCTGGACCTCACAAGGAATAATATGGGGAATTAAATGTTTCTTTTGGAAATTATAATTTCTACAATTTTTCATTACTAATTATGTAACAATAACAACAAATATTAAATAACATTAACATCTAGACTAACGAATTGCACTAAATTAAGTGTTGGAAATGGCAGCCTTCGGCTTCAATACAACCGTCTAGCCGCCGCATCTTTCCATTTTGATATTGTAACTTGTAATGCAGACTTATATGAATGGTGTTTTCTGAAACCTGACTGATATTTTAGTAAAATATCATTATTTTCTAGATATTCAATGAGTTGATTATAAACTGCAAGTTCTAATTTGTTGGCAAAGTGTTGATTGGTCTAAATTCCCAGGATTTATTTGTGTTAGGGACTTTCTGAATTGGCACAAGGACACTGGTCTTGAGCTCCTTCGGGAATCTGCCAGTGCTCAAAGATGTTTTTATAAAATTCAACAATGGATGTCCTATAACACCAAACGTTTTTTTAATAAGTTTGCAATTAAGCATCTCACTGCTGTATTTCATTTCAACTCCGTTGATTAATTTAGACAGATCTACTAACTCCAACACTTTGAATTTCTCTAAGGAGTTGTTAATCGATATAACATTGATCTCATGAAGTGAATCAAATTGATCAATAATGTTCACAATTTCTTGTACGCTATCAATAAAATAATTGTTGAATGATTCTGCAATATCTAGATTATTTTTATGAATGACTGACTATTTATTTTGAAATAAATACCATCAGTAAATGTATTGCTATTAGTGTTTGGACTTACAAGCTGTTTGAGTGTTTTCCACATAATCCTCGGATTTGACCTATTTTGATAGTTTTATCAATTAGTTTCTTAATATTTACACGTGGTGGAGTAGTGTCTTTACTTTGATAACATTTATTTGTTTGAAAGATGTTCTGATATAGGAATTTTTGAAATAGGTTTTTTGAGATTTTTTAAGATCTTTTTGACGATCTGGGATAAATATTATATTAGGGATTATTTCAATTAGTTTTGCTTTCAGGTTGATGCTTTTCTGGTTGAGATTTTTCAGTTTGATGTTTATCAACTTCTTCATTCGAAAGGTCGTCCAATTATTGAACTATTTTGGTGATTTCATTTATATAAGGGGTTCCTTTTTGGAAGGGGGATATTGTTCTGATTTTAAAAACTACCTATCTATGGTTTTGAATGAGTTTTTTGGTGTTTAATAACTATTGAAGTGATGGTTTATGTTCAGTAACAATAGTACTTTCTCTTCTAGATAAATGAGGTTAAAACTATTTTGTAAAATTTTTGTAAAATTAACAATCGTTAGTAGTCATTTTTCTATAGAAGAATTATTTTGTTCTGCATCGGCTGATTGAGTGAACAAAGCACCTACGTCGAACCGTCCGGCTAACGACCGACCAATTGAAGAAGATATTCTCTAAATATTCTATCAGGATAATATTTTTCTACAATTGATGATCTTAACATGGAAATGTGACATTTCCATGTTAAGATCAAGTTCAAGTAACTACCCTCTACCAACCCCTTCCTGAGGGAAGCTATGGGGAATGTGTCATCAGGATTATTTTCCATTAAAATATATTTCCATATCATGTACCTACTATTTCATACATAGGATTCACCATTAATTCTTTTCTATGAAACGGTCAGTTTCAGTTTGTTTCAACACCGTGATATCAGGACCGTTTACGGATTGCGCAGTTGATATTTTGATAATAATCTATTGAAAAGGCAAAGATTAAGAGTGTATTGCATTTCTGGTGATTGGAAAAGGTGCTTGTTTTGGATTACATAAATATGATGTATTTCTGTGACTATTGAAAAAAGCGTCAATTATATGTGACTGTTTATTGTCGGATAAGTTGCAAGATGGTTCATAACTCACACCTTCGAACCAATCAAAGATGAGTGAATTCAATAATTTGTAAGGTAATTGACAAAGCAGTTACAGCATTCTATTTCCAGAAAAGGCCATTCGGTACTTCCTCCAATGATTTGCGACACCTGCCCAAACTTTATTCTTATGTTTGTTGAATAATACCCAATTCTTTATCATTCTTCTATGACAATAAGTAGATGATTATTTACCTTAATGCATGAAAACAATGAACGACTTGAATGCTAGGCAACGTTTACAGTTTTACAGCCATTATTTTCTTCAAATCAATGAATCAATGGAAAAATTGAAGGCTGGACCACAATGAAAAACAGAGTTGTACAGCGATAAAACTGACAATTAACATCTAGGTATCGTTATTGTTGAATCATACGTGACTCTCAGCGCCTATAGTCATGCATGGCTAGATACTAACTCTAGTGAGACAACTCGAATGAATATACGTTGATCATATAAAACTCGCCAATATAGTGAACATATACACTAGAGACCAAAATGAAAAACGAATTGCCACACTTCACTGAAAATAAGACAACAATCATTCAGTTCAAACTCCACCTTCAAAACTGTTTTTGAGAAATCACCATATTTTTCCATTTCTTGTAGCTGACTCTTCATTTTCATGTAGTATTCCCGTTGCCTCTTTGTTTGATCACAGAATATTCGTAGTTTTGGTAATTTAATCCGGCTGTTCTTTAAGAATAACTTTTGAGTAGCCTAGGTTTATTTCCTATAGTTTTTCCTACTCTAAAAACTTTGATATTACTGATATCAACGTTGAATGTTTTAAGTAAATCATTAGTTACATTCAAATCCTCTTCTACACGTCTCTGAAGAGTATTAGCCTGGGACTCCTTCAGTCCTCCTATCATAATATTTCGTTCCCTTTTTTGTCTCTCTAATAGTTCAGATATAACCTCTTCTGAAGACTCATTAGTATCTGCGCCTTTGTTCTGAGAAGACAACGAATTGTTGGCCAATCTTTCAAAATTAGCCTTCAATTCATTTATCTGGATAATCAGTGAAGGTACTTTCCAGAATCCTGATTCACAGTCTTCACATAAAAATATGAGTTTCCTTTTTGTTTTCAGCTGTAGACATTTGATTTCTGATCCTGTTAAATTTCCACAGGCATCACCACTGCACAGATTTTTTCTGCAACTATCACAGGGAAAGAGCTGGGTTGATTCAAATTTTCCTTCCATTTGAAGCACTTCTTTTTATTCGTAATTTTTTCGTGAAATTGGAAGAATCCTATGAACTAATTAATGCCGTACTCAAGAATATAAGGTACACTACTGGATAAATAAAGTTACAGACTTCGTTTTCTGTTTATGAATTTCACAACTGGTAAAAGATCAGTTATTTCACAATTTTCACTACATATAGCAATTACTGTTCGTACGCCTCTGGTAGGGTGTTATTTATCTACTTGTCTTGCCAGATGTGGCTAATTTCAGGCACTTTACGATTTAGACCCAACTGAATCGATTCAAGTTATTATTGAATTATCACCAACTCAGACCTAAAAACTGATTTTCATTTTCACAAGGTTATTCCCGGTACTTTCACTGTTGTTTTGATGTGAAATTAAACATTTTTCATCAGTGAAAAACCACTAAAACTTTAGTTTTTGTCGGGACTCCGGCGATGCACGTGCACTCTTACTCACATGTGAAAAAATGGAAGGTCTTTTCAAGGGTACAGATAAAATTATTGAAAAAGTGATTGTTTTTCTTCAGTAGAACAAGCACCACTAGAAAACATAATGTCTAAACTGTAGGAAATGCTCAACACTTTCATTGGTAGCAGTACTCCTCCACATCAGGTGATGTACACTGACATCACAGCCAATTATGATCTGTGATCTGTCTACTGGCACGTATAAACTATTTCTTCCACTTTCGTTGTTGGTGACGGTTCCAGACAATCGTAAGGGAGGTACGTTGATTTAATGAATCAACTGTGGTATAATTTAATCCTTTTTGGACAATTAAACATGTTCTTGAGTCTCTATGATTCTGTTATAAATTAATTATACATTACTATGATATCAGTAAAAGGTAAAACTGGAACTTTTGGTGTAGAATAAATCCAAAAGAAACACTTTTCCCAATAACTAGAAATCACATTAAGAAGACGCGCAATTGCATTGAGCCTCTCTATTACTGAATAAACTCATTAAATTATTGGTCATTGATCCCAAAAAAATAGAATGTCTATGAAAGGGTAATTACAAAAATAAACAAATATATACATATGAATAGTATCAGCAGGCAAACATATTTCTTCACATACAATAAATATTTAATATTTAGTCTAAGGTTAAGAGAGTTAAAAATAACATATTAGAAATAATGGCTCTATTTGATTTATTCAACAATAAGTCTCTCCAATGAACTATTCAATAAAGCTACATAAAAATAACTGAAATATAGAATACTGAGAAAACAAATAAGTACATAGATGCTCATATCCAAGTATCATTTATTTCAACCATTTTTCAAATATTGAAAATGGTTTGAAATGTATTTCCATAGGAATAATTCATTTACTGCATTCTAAGTGACACATGAGATAAGAATTTAATTAATGTTATAGATAATTTCTAATAGGGGGACTGTTTCAAAGCATTCTAAAATTTACATGAGATGGAGACTAACAAATAACAATAACCAGTACATCTACTTACCATCTTTTTTCGAAGTTTGTTGTTTATATTGTATTCTAAATCTGAATGCCTCGAGAACTGACGCGACGACTATTGTCAATACAACCATTGTGAATAAGTAGAACTGCATAAAATATAATCGCGAGTACTTATTGGACACAGATGCATATGCGTCCATGACTATAAACCAGTTATTCACAACTGTCAGTTCAAACAGCGTAACTCCTGAAATAAGTATGTTTGAGAAATTGTTTAGGTAGTAATACCCTATGCCACTTGAGGTAACATTCGAGCTATATTTGTAAAAATCTTCAACAGTAGAATTCCTGAAATATTAGGTCAAATTAATATAAAGTGTACTGAATTTTGATCAAAATTTTAGATTTTAAAATAAATTCAGCTGCTTGTTCTGATATTTGTCATTTTGTATAAAAAGGTAACTAATTTTGTTCTTATCTTTCTCGATTTTTCGTTACTGATTCCATTCATCGGAACAATTAAATACCTTGAGGATTTTCATATTTGAATAAATGAACTCATTACCTAACAAACGATTTTTTTCTAAATCAGAAGATTTATGAAGTGCCAGAATGGCAAGAAAGTTGGTACCCAGTATGTAGTTTTGGAACATGCCACAATTTTTTTTTCATCAGATCAATTTCAGAAATTAATTATAAAAGCTGTCAAATGACGTCACTGATTATTTTATGATGAATCCGATAAATATTATTTTTGGTGAAAAGGAGGCTCAGTGACCGGAGATGACAAGTGAAAGGATACTATTATTGTTGAAGCCAACCATTTTCTAACATATTCAAATCCAACCAATCAAACCAACAAATCCCCATTCTTTTAGCCATATCACACACTATAAAGATAAATAACAAATGCTGCCAAATTACTACCATCCGTGTACACACTATTTTTTTTTTATAATTAATATAAACTCAATTAGCCTCCACTACTAGTAGACTGTTGACAGCAAACAAATTAATTGGATTTATTAGCCGTAGTTTTGATGTAACTAATGGAATTCATCAATGTACGTGATAAAAGGAACAATTTGATGAAATTCATCATTTAGAAGCCAACTGAATTCTGATTACATCGATGAGTTAACCGATGAAAAAAGGAACATGTTTATACTGTCTAAACACTTACACACAACAGTTTCTCAGATCATATCCAGAGAATAATTCCATGCCAATAATGGCAAAAAAATAATACATCACCATCATTACAACAACTGTAGACCACATTAATGGACTCAACAATACCAAGGTACCAAAAATATCTCTGTACCTTTTCTTCAACTTGAATACTCTAAGAAGCCTACAAAAAAAAATCTCATCATAACATGATTTTTTAAAAAAAGTAATACTTGCCTTAGAGGTCGTAAAATAACAACAACTGTCAGCTCTGGAAACATAGAGAGCAAAAATGCTCCGCCCAGTGCTAACACGGTAACAGATAGGTCAAACACATTCCATCCAGATGAGATATATTCCGACCAACCAATACCTACTATTTTAAAAATTGCCTCCATCGAAAATACTGAAAAATTTCATTAGGCATGAGAAAAAATGTTCATGAGTTTTTCCCAATTACAATAATAAAAAAGATCATTAGATCATGTGTAACTATGTGATTTAATTTGACAGTTTGTAGAATTCATGTACATTTGATTGTAATAGTGAAATTTTGGTATTTTTTAGAAACTCATTACTTGGTTATTCATGGTTATTGTAATATCTTGTTATCTAATTAATTATTTTTATACTATAACCACTTCAATATTTCAATACATCATCTATTTTTCTCTATTCCGTTTGTATTCCAAACATTCGTAATGGGATCGAATCAGATATCACTCAAAGGATTCGTACACAATATAATTAATGAAATGATTAAAATTTCACTTAATGGAACACCTTCATTCCTCACTGTTAAGACATCCAATGTTTCGCCATAAGATACTCGTCTTTTTGGCTCTTCAGTACCAAAAACGGATAACATTATAAGAAAAATACTCAATTCGTTCATAATTACGACTTTTTGTTATGGAATGTTTTGAATCCAGCCATGTCATCGATGACAGCACGTAAATAACATTCATTTGCTTATTTGATCAAATCCCAGTCATAGGAATCTTGTTTAAATAAAAAGGATATATTTTAAGAAGGCCAAAAACTTTCTTTCCCAAAATTTAATCTCTCCTAAAAATATACCGTTTCAATTTAAACAAGGTTCCTATGGCTGGGATTTGATCAAATAAGCGATTGAATGTTATTTACATACTGTCATCGATGAAATCGGTGGATTCACCCCATTCCATGACAATACGTCGTAATTATGAACGAGTTGAGTGTTTTTCTTATAATGTTATCCATATTTGGTACTGAAGAGCCAACAAGACAAGTGTCTTGTTGGTACTGAAGAGCCAACAAGACAAGTGTCTTACGGCGAAACATCGGATGTCTAGCAGTGAGGATGACAGTGTTCCATTAAGTGAAATTTTACTCCTTTCATTGATTATATTGTGTGGGAATCCTGTGAATGATATCTGATTCGATTTCATTACCAATGTTAATGAAGTCAAAGTCACTTTGAAGTTCACTACCATTCACATTTAATTTAAAAAAAAGTACCGAAAAACACTTTGCAATTCTCAAGATAATTTTTGACTACAAATGAATACTATTTCAATGTGATTAACTCCAACATATACTAATTAGAATGCTGACTATCATGGATATTTTCTTAAAAGACTGACTGCTCATTAAAATTGAATTTGTAGATGGAAATTTCCATAACTTTGATTACATTTTTCAAGATTACAGAGAATTAGATGATATTTAAAGTTTATACTCACATGCCAGAAATAAATAAGTATCCCACGATGCACAAAATAGTCTAGCATGATCCTGTAAAGTTCCTGGATTCTCTACCACTCTTATGAACATAGCAACACCATTTGAAATAATGAGAAGATCTGAAATTTGTTTCATTACATTTTTCTATAAATACATAAAATAAATAATTGGCATATACACAACAGGGAGATGGATCATCAAACTAAACTTTACTGCCAATTTCACTATAGTCTAGTAGATTTTATTATAATCTTGATTCTGAACTTTTTCAGGTGTGGTGAAATTTTATTATTTATGAATAAATTTCTTGACTCACACACAATATGTTCAAAATATTTCCAAGAAATTAGATTTCTAGATGTTCGGCAGAAAACTCGCAATGGGGGCCAAGCTGTTGAAAACCAGGGATCCAAAGGAGTTTTATTTCTCCATTTCAATGTCATGGCATCATATATATTCAAAAATTCATCTTGCGTTAGAAGACCTGTGTTACTTTTGTTTAATTGGCGAAAGATCAAAACTACATCCCTGAGTTCTGAAAAAAAATCTTTAATTATAAGACTATATTAGTCAGTAGTCGCATAGTTTTATGTTTTGTCAGTGGACTTATTGTTCCTGAAGATGTATAAAAAAATCTGTATTGAAATATGATAGGACCCTCTGACGAAAAATGAATCCTATCTCTCGATGCATTTTTGCTAATCAAGTTAACACCATCAAGAGATGAAAAAGACTGTCTTTTTCCAGATGATGCTAAGTTAGTAAGTGGAATGTGCATCAAGAGTAATATTGCAAGAAATGGTGATATTACTCAGTTTAATCAATAAATAAAACAAATGTTAATGAAGAAAACAATGCCAAATGAAAATTTAAGAACAAAATGAGATTTTTTCTGTGAATGACTGACTTGCCACGACTTCTATGCAAGACTGGTGTAAATTTGATTCATTTTTGTTAAAGTACTTACTAGTTTTTGGTGAGTAATACCTCATCAGTCCTAGAAATTGCTTGAATCTCATATTATTTGGAGTCTGTTTGCTCACAAGAAGCCGAAAAGCCAATTTACACGCTTGTCTTTTGTGTAAAAGAAGTTTCCTGAATTTGTCTTTCTCTATTCCAGTGAAAGTTTCGTAGACAACAGCCAGCATCTGAAAAAAAAAAAAAAGAAACGGAATTGTAAAATCATGATATTATTTATTTTCAATTACTTACCAGATTCATCAATACATAAAGTACTGTTGATATGTATGAAATAAAAAACACTGCCGTCCACTTAGAAATGGAATATGATGGCATCATAACATCCGGAAAACTGAAAAACAGTTAAATTCATATATTTCCTTTCAGATTTTTATTCTATATTTTAATTATAACAAAACATTATTTGTCGTAAGTGCTTCAGGTTATACAACTAAAGTATTAGTATTGTTATACAACTAAAGTATTAGTTGTATGACCTGATGAATAAAATATTTCATTTTCTCTGATGGCAAATTATGAACGGACCAACAGTTTACTTATGAAGATTAATCACACTATCCATGATAATAATTTTCACGAACATTTCTACCGAGCTACTGTGTTAGCAAAACGCGTTTAGAAATTAAAATGTTTGTGAAAATTTGTAATTATTATCATAGATAGTATAAATCTGATTGGCATTCGAGAATGAATGAAATGAAAAGTCATTCAGGTAACTTAATCAAAATGCATAAACCAACTGGTTGATTACTAAAGTGCATAAGTTAACATTTGTGACTAAGATTCGTTTGCTTACTTAGCTGTAGTCAGCAGTACAAACATACTAACGAAGCTGTCCCCCAATGTTTGAAAATACAGGTTCGTTTTATGCCCACTAAACAAGAAATATCCCAACAAAGCATAGCTGCATATGAAGAATAATAGTAGCCCCAACATATCCAAAATCGGAGGAAGTGATTGTAGTATCTGTCTAATGTATCTTCGTACTCCTCCACAAGCCCTAGTGTCGACTAGAAAGATGGGACGCAGGGCTCTAGTAACTCGGAAGTGTGATGATTGTCTTATGAGAACTGTGACCGCTTCTAAGAACATTATCATTAATGTTATACACTGAAAAATATAAAAAAACTTACCATCATCTTTCATGGAATTTTACATCACTTATAGAACATATTCGATACATGAGATCATGTACAGTTTTTTATAACCGTATGAATAATTATAACTTAGATGTTGATGAAATGATTAATACCTTGAAAATTATTATCTAGATTAATGGAAAGAAAAAAATTGTTTGTAGTGGAGGTACTCAAAAACTACTTAACCGATTTTAAAATTTCTTTCACCTACAGAAAGCTACATTGCAGCGAGTAAAATGGGGTGTATTTCATCATATAAAAAAAATAGAGATCCTACGAAAATTGATATACTGTAATGAAAGATATCAAAAATTTTCTTATTGATGATACTACTGATGTACTGAGTTTTCATATTGCTCATCACTACTTGCCATGCAGCGGGGGCATTAGAATACCCTCGGAGGTAGGACTCCTCCTAAATGACGCCTCATCCTAAGGTGTGTATGATGTAAGAATGTGTGACTCTGAACTCACTCAGTGACATATCACCTCCTCAAGAGCAAGATATCTTAGGAATCTGCCTTGCACCAAATATCTGAGCTGCTTCAGGAAAGAAAACAAATAGTTCAAATGATGATTCATTGAAAACCAGAGGCGAGAAATAAATGTAATGTATCGTCAGATAGACTTACAGATGCCCTCAAATGAGAAGGTTGCTACGGTCATTGAGGTGGAACTTTTGCATCTTGAACCCCAATAGCAAACAATCAACTGGAATCTCTACAGTACGCCATTACGGCTGCCATAAAATATATTCCAGAGCAGCTCATTCCTGTCTTGATGAGTACCAGTCACCTAACAGGATTAGAGGAGTTATTACTCAAACACTGACTGTTTATTATTTTATTAACCATTTTCTAATATATTCACTAGCTAATTTTAATTTTATTTTAAAACATTTTATGTATGTGACTCATGTATTGTATGTAGCACATTTCATGACTTGTTACTTCTTGTATGATGTACTTTATCTATGGCAAAATGATACTTCTACTACTACTATTAGTTATATTCTGTAGTTCTCGCAGACGAAGTAATAGACAAAAACTGTTGTTGATTCTGAAATAACTGCAGTATCTATAAAACTGATTGACAAATAAATACCTTAATTTGTCTATGCGAGGCTGCGACGGGTCGATAGTCTCACATATTTTTCAATCGTAATAGGTCGTTATTTTCTTTAATAAAGAAAAATGAACAAGAATACTTTTTTACATCAATTTATACTTTGTTATATTTTTCAATAGTATAACCAAAGTTCTAAAATCAATCATTTGTGATTCAACAGCAGACAGTGCTGTTTGACTGTCAAATAAATCATCAGTGGTGCTGGGATGAACCATGAATGTATTGTTGTACTGAACTGTTAGTGCCTGAGTATAAATAAGCAGAGATAACTCCCTTTGTGAAAACCCTATCTATGGGATCAACAAAAAAATGAAATCTTTCTTTCCATTGAATCCATTGAAAACACTTTTTCCTCACCAGAACGAAAATGCTGTCTCTCGGCGCATGTTTTGCTGACAGAGCTAGCAACATCAGATGATTAGGACTACTCTTTTAATGACTATGTATCTTTTAATTATACGTATCAGTACCTTAGAATAACTTACAATGAGGTAATTAAATTAATTCCTAGTACCTAGTACCTGTATTCTACCAGTGATTAGGAATGCGAAAAGAAAGCTTTTAGGTGTGGGTTTATGAAATAAGCTGTGAGGTTAAATTGAGCAGACTATAATAGCTTGCTACAAGGAACATGTTTCACTTATTTATTTGGTTTCATACACCATAGAAGTCAATGTTACTCAACTTTCCATAGAGAACGGCCACATTAAACATAAAATCAATAATACTGAACTCCTATTCACAAATGTTTTTGACAAGCTATCACAAAAAAGAAATATTTTTTCTTCCAAACTTTAGCATCCTGCAGTTCATAAGTTAAGAACCTTTAGGACCTATGTTTGTTTGAAGTTGTTTCCAGTTTAAATATTAGTACATTTTGTTGAGAAACACCATATACACATAAAAATATATTTAATAAATTTGTGAAATAATAGTTCAACCCATAAATAAATAAACTTCGTAGATACATTGTATTTTTCTCTCAAAATGCATATTCCTGTAGAAAATAAAAAATGAAACTGTTTAGACTAATACCAAAAACTCTCACTTCACTTTCGTTAAATTTAATTGAAAAATTGATGAATGATAAACACAAAATTTGGGTCAAATTTGGATTTGTCCAGCTTCTCACATATGACCCATTTACTTTTTGCATTTCTACCCATTCAACAAGAAAAACATATTGCTAGGTTAGCATATTGATTTTGACTGATTCATTTTCTTTACCTTAACCATAGTCCTCTTATGTTTCAAAATAGTTGTCCAACCAATCCACCTTAATTTCAACGCTAATTCAACGCCAATCACCCCCAAGGCAACCAATTCCAATGTTCCATGTATTCCAACAGGAAACTCAAAATTTTCTATTGATGGTTTTTCTACAACTGCTAACATCAGAAGGACTATGGAGAAAAAGAGATCAAAGCCATAGTACCATGAATTATGCACGAGAAGGTATGCAGGTAACGCTGATGGATGACGAGGGTGAGAGTCAAATTTTTCATTATTTTCTCCTTCCTAAAAAGTAGTCACTTTATTAACTGAATGTCATATAAGTGAAAAGACAAATGAATTTTAGAAGTAAGATAGTTTATTAACTTTTACAGGGGATGCGTAGGTGAACGATAGCTGCTTCGAGAATATGTCCCAAATTAAAGTTGTACAAAGCTATGAAAGCTATAGTACAAAAATGACTACCAACATACAAGAGTTGTCCAATGAACAACGTGTGACTTATCAAAGTTGCATTTTTTAAATGAAACAAACTATTTATTTTTATTTGATTGATCTCCTCCAGAAAAGTTGCTCTGCAAAATATTGAATTACTTGGTTTTAAAACAGGTGGTTTGGATGTTATGGTAGGATTTATGTCATAAAAATGGTTTCATATAACAGTAAATTAAAACTTGAGAACCTTTTTCTTAGTTTTTTCAAATGAAACGCCCTGGAAATAGGGCCGTATAAGAAGATTACACTCCATGAGCTTGCAAAAAATATTGGTTTGCCTACTTGATTTCTATTGGAAATTTTTCTATTGGGAGTCAGTAAATGAAAACAAAAAAGTTTTTTTGTAAAAACAGGTAACAAATATTGACAAACAGTGTTCAGATAATCTTTCATTTTGAGTTATGCACAATTACTCAAGTCCATCTACAAATTATCTTCGAACTTTAATTAAAGCTGATTTCATAATAAAAAAAAATTATAATTCTACTCTTCTGACGTCATTGGTTTTTCTCAACAGATCTCTCTTTTCACATATCCCCATTGATTAAAATCAATTTTTTCTTATTCATTTATTCCTATGCTTCCTGTTCAGAAGCCTTATTACCCAATTTTGCTGGTTGGGAGTCGTGCTGTCGTGTTGGTAAAATAAGCTGCCTTTTGTCAATTGATACATTCTTCAATAAATTTGGTAAATATTTCCAGAGGAAATTTCCATAAATTTCTTTATTTAGTGGCATACAACTTTTTATCACTTTCTTCCAAAAATTAGAAACATTTCTGCTATAAATCAAGTATTCAAACCCTACATTTTCTGCAAGCTCAATTGTGGGCTAATATGACTCAGCAATATTTTTACAAGGAACATTTGAAATAACAAAAAATGAGATTATAGTTTTGATTACCTCTAAATGAAAAAAGCGCCAAAGGGAATAGAAAATAATCTCAAGAATATTTGCTTGAAAGTGATTGACAATGTTTCATGGTAAATTTTCCATTGTCTAATTTGATATGATTTCAAATCTCTGAAAGAACAAACAAAATCAAAAATTTAAATGAATAGATGAAAGAAAATGATTATATTGTGTTTATTGCTTGATATATTTGTTATTTTTTATCCATTCAATAAACAGTGTTTTTTGCTTAATATATTTGTTACTTTTTAGCTATTCATTTTGATTTTCAATTTTATTTGTTCTATCAGAGATTTTAAATCATAATATATAATATTAGACAATGAAAGTCCAAACTAGTAAAATTTGCCAAGAATATTTGTCGACAAAATGTTCTTATTGCATGCAATTCAGTAGGAGATATTTGCTGGGTTTTGTGATATAAATCTGATCATAACCTTCGGAATGGGTAGGATGAAAATAATATTTCTCAATTTACAAAAGCTAAAAGAGAAAACCTCTAACATCATGACTATTCTGTAAGTGTAAAATATATAATGAAAAGAAAAAAGAAAATTTCTATGTTTTTTACCATTTTTAATTGTAACTAACGTTACTGCAGTTTCGTCCTATATGGATATTCTCAAACTAATACAATAAACTAACAATGATTCATTACATTCGGCAATATATACCATTCAGGTACTTGATTGAGTACCTGTATTTACAGTTCACAATGCGGATGTGCCAATTAACGTGACAGCAGTAACGTTCATTATGATCTCCTAACACATAGTAACGATCATTATGATCTCCTAACACGTAGTAACGGCTACATCCATCAATTTAGTAAAATATATACTTGGAATGAAAGTATTTTTAGGAGATAGAACATCAGGCCTATTAGACTAGTGTCTGATTGTGTCTCATTTGTTAAATTTGTGGAATACTGAAAAAAATCAAGTTAGGATCTTTTTCTACTTACAAAAAATTAATCTCTCAAAAAATTGTCTTCAATCACATCACTGAACGATATGTTTTTTTAATTGTCAGTGAAAAATAAATGATTGTCTACCCTTATCAAATAAAATTTGGGAGTATTTCCACCTCAGTTTTATCAATATTAATCTTTGACATCCATCCAGGAGATAAATCAGGGTTTAATTTAACAATTTGAGTATTTCTTCACTGTGATTTAAATTTCATTGAAGGGAACTGATAGCTTCCTAAACCAAAATCAATATCTTTCTCAATTTTGGCATTGTCTCTCAGATTCTAAGCATTTACCTCTAGGAATATTGCAGCTTCATGATAATTCATCTCCCATTGGTCCGTATCAGCATTATCGTCTCTGCAGAGACTGGATCTGCTCCCCATTTCGTCCATGGGATCTGAAACCCAAGTGAAAAATTATATTCAATCTTATTTACCCAGAAAAGCTTTAAAGACAAAACAGGCTAAGAAACTGTAAAGAATGTAATTACATAAAAACATTTTAAATTTCCCACGACCTGGTATTAAAACACCTTTTCAGATTTCAATGCATTATCAAGTTAGAATAATTGTAAACATTCTATAAAAGATAAAAATTAGGTGAAAAATTAAATTAAATTCAGTCTAAGATAAAATGAAGTTAAGGACGAAAATTCTCTAAACATCATTGAATTTGTTTGATGATAATGATTCTTATCTTTATATAAATACTTACTCTGTTCATTAGAGCCATAAGATGCATTGTGAATATCTTCTGTGAATCTTTTATATCCGTCATCATCAGGCGAACTTCTGCTCGTGGAAGCCATTAAAAAATTAGGAGCTGTCAAAGTCAAATGTTACCCCATTTTATTATTGTTGTATGGCTGTTTGCCTACATAGTAGTAGTGCTAGTTACCACTAAGTTTTTTTAATATTGTTCTCACCTGTTAGTAATTTTGTATGAAATTTGATAAAATGGGAATGTTCGAGATTCAACTCTGAGATAATGTTGGGCTGCATTATAAACAACTTTTTGTTAACCGTATCTTTCGGGTCTTTCAAGTCACTGAATAAGTACCTACCTAATAGGAAAGTATTAAATGAAGACTAAATTTTAACTGATACTGGTATTATCCAGATTGTAGTGATATATATTCAAAAATCGATGTTTCCTTCATTATTTTAATAACTAGGTATATCTATTAGTAAAAAAATAACCGAAGTAGCAAGCGAATATTCAAAATATGTTCACAGTGAAAAATATATTCGAATCTATTTGAATTATTTTACTTATATCATTCAGATATTAGAATGTATTCATTTTTGAAAAACCTTCGGAATATTTACAGTTTGAATTTTTTTTGGAGATATTTTGAATATTTTGAAAACAAATTTATGTATTTAGCCGATTTCTATATCTATTAAATTATNGTAAGAGTTTGGTGCATCCATCAGAGGTTGAGTTTGAAGATGATCAGTGTCATTATCTATTAGATTCACTGATGCCTCAGCTATACTTGTTTTCTTATAACAGTCAGTTTGGCGCATATTTGGCAATACAGTTCCATTTTTAGATGATTTGATAATAAGCTTTGCACGGAGTGCGGTTATCAGTCATATTAGGAAACGCTAGTTGGAATTCCAGAAAATCACATACGTTTTTGCTACCTTTTGAACATTTACTACAAAGTAAACAAGTGAGGATTTTCCCAGCAAAATATTTACAAACACAATACAATCATTTACTAAACAAATCATCAAACAAAAACATCTCCTAGCAACACCTAGCACACTCCAATTGAAGGAAATTGTTCCTTAAGAATTTCAGCCTCTAGCATTATTTTCATGTCAGGAACAGTTCCACCAGGATTGACATTGAAATATACAAGTAGGTTAACTAACTGCTCTCGCGAAAGGTTTTGAAGTAACTTGACCATGGTTTTATCAAATGTGTAAGAACTATTCACTTCTTGGGGTCACAAATCGTAGTTTTTAAATTACTTTCAAAGATGTTTTTATCATCATTTACTGAACAAATCATCAAACAAAAACATCTCCTAGCAACACCTCCATTTGAAGGAACAGTTTGTTTCAACACCGTGATATCAGGACCGTTTACGGATTGCGCAGTTGATATTTTGATAATAATCTATTGAAAAGGCAAAGATTAAGAGTGTCATAATATTTTTCGTTGTGTAAACGTGTGGATGTGCATAACTTCACCGCGGCCAATACAACCAAATATCATATAAATATTTGAATATGCCAAAATATTCTTACATTTCTTCTTACATTCTTATATTTGAAAGACGAATCTCAGCCTGATTGTTGAAGCCTGTTTTTTTTGTTGAACTCTTCAAGGATATGTACATTTTCGAAAATTCAGTGTGTTTGATCAGTCAATCCTGGAACTCCTAGTATTTTCAGAGATATACCGAACTGACATTCATAATAAAACCAGTAAGTTACTCGACAAGGAATGAAGTAATATTAGGATGGGTAATGAAAACGAAGCAGCCAATTTCTTATGACTTTGAAATAATATTGCTCAGATCTCTTCTATTTTCATTTCAAAGGAGAAAAAACTTCCAAGAATATTTTCAACCTTATTACTTTCACCATATCAGCCGAGTGCGATCAAACTCTTGAATCTCAAATAATGATAATAATAATAATATAACTTTATTCAAGACATTTCATAATATATCCATAGGAAATGATAAACAAACTTCTAAATAAACTGTTATTAACCTTGAAAAGTGAAATTTGTACCAAGGTAAGTCATAATGAAGGATACATTTTTATAAATACAATCTATACTAATATAAATGTGAGAGTTTGTGAGTTGATTTTTTTTCTGGTTTCACACCATGTTCTGTGTTTTAATTCCTTACATGGATTATTTCTGCTACAATTTGGCAAAATCTCATTTGCCATCTTCTAGTGATGTCTGAAGTTTCTTTAGAATTCTGTTTCTTAATTTAGAGGTAGGTTTTACCATTTACCTAGGTTGCTGAAAGGTTCTGCCATCATATGACGGCCCCATCTATCCTGATACCTTTCTTCCATCACTTTTAGATACTAGTGAAAGCGCTCTCCCTGTTACTTAGGAAATCTATCCAGATGATTGTGGAGAAAGTGTAACTTCATGCTCATATTTACTTCTGAAATTTTAAAGCTTTCCAACATATCTTTTGCACTATTACCCGATAATCTGGCGCCTAATAGTTTCTTACAAAATTTTCTACCATCAACAAAAAACTTCTCCAAGCTTCACTTTCAGAATTTGTCATAACTTTTATAAATTTTGAAATATCAACAATTCCCGGTTTAGAGGGCCATCAGATATTCTAGCTTTCAACTTTTTCTCAGCTTAGGAAATGTCTGAACTTGCTTTGACGAAATGCTTCATCATATCTAATTAGATATGTAGTGGCGGAAATATGATCTTTTCTCTACCTTATAATGGCTACTTAATTTTGGCTTTACCAATAATTGAGGATTCTCTAGACTCTAGAGGGCCACACAACTTGTTGCCAGTGAACTTGCTTCGCTCTACTATCCACTTTGTTGACCAAGTGAAAAGTTAACCATTTTTGAATCGGAATTCCGCAATATTTTGTGGAATCGATTTATCACTTTGATATTCCTCTTTTCGTTTTGTTGAATTGGCAATTCAAATTCAATTCAAATTTATTTCCATTGTACAATAAAAACATTTCAAATTTTTTGCAGCTATCAATAAAAAGCCACCAATCACCAGTAACTGAGATATTATTACAGCAAACAAGTTCTTCATTTTCACTAAAATATGATAGTATACCACTTTCGTTATGCTGTAATTGTGACAATTGGCACCAATAGCTTCCTTTCAGTTTTGAAGTCAACAGTTCTGATGCTTGTTTTGATGAATTCACGAATTGAATCGCTAAGCTCGTTTTGAGAAAAACATTGTGGTGCAGATGTTTCACCTTCATATTCACTTTCATTCGTAGACTGTACTGAATAATGTTGTGAATTTGGGTATACGAACTACTTTTGAAGCTTAAATACATCGAGGAAGATCTTCACTCTGCAAGACAGGACGTCTTGTAGACTGTAAATTTCGATAATGCAATTCAACAAATAAAACAAAGTATCAATCTCGTATTAGCAAATTACCCGAAAGTATAGACGTGCGGCGTAATCTTCAATCTTGTCAATTTACTGCGTTTTCGGGCATTTACACGGAATGAGGGGCACGGGGAGGAAAATCGTGTTGATGCGCCAAAACAAAGCGCAGAAATCGAATTTCAACATTATACTAAACATTTCATAATAATTTGTGTTCTAAAAAGCTAGCTTGAAGTGTGAATTACTAAAAATATTTTTTAAGACAAAATCACAAGCACCAGAGCCAATTCAGTACTTTCATGAATATATTTTTTTGTAGAGCTGTATTTGCAGCCAAAATATATGGTAGGTAAATATTTGTCCAGTTCAGCCATCAAAACATCAAAACCACACGCTCAGCCAGCGTTGCAGTAACGTTTATTGACCTTGACTTTAATTCCCCAATAATGTTTTCGATAATCAAGAAAGGGCTTATGGGAATTGTGCCTTTTTTGCTACTTCTTGGTCTCCATATCAACGTTTACATGTTATGTCCCAAATAAGATATCTATGTCTCAAGATTTCTGATGCACAAGCATTAAATTGTATTACATTTCTGAAATGAAATGTAATGAAATAATAATGAATACCAGTATGAAGAACCAGATCATGACATTGAATGGGAAATAAAAAGAAACATGTTTAGAATTTTCAATTTATTTTACAAATATCGCGAAGGCACAAATCTCAAAAATAACCATTGAACAACGAAACAAAGTAAATAACCAGAAAATTAATACATTCAAAGATGCATAAAAGAAACATTACCTTAATGTTACCCACATACGGTGGTTTGTCTTTTAAATTTATACATTTAACAGTAAACCAAATCAATTACCTAAAACTTATTAGTACACATTGTTTTGTCTTTTATGATGATTATATTAAAATTTAAAATTAATTTTTCCAAGTACAATATTGTCTAGTGAATTGGCGTAAGCTGAATCATCTTGATATATTATTTTCGTCAATGGGACATACACGCATCATTCAAATCATTCATTAGGCTACGAACAATTTCACTAAACGAAAATCAAAGTTCATCAAGCATGCCTCTATCGATAAAATCTAATATTAAAATAAAATTCGAAACATTACAACTAAGCTTATGATAAATTGGTGGCACTATCACTAGATAATAAAAAAAGTGATACATCCCACCCACCTTAACAGTACTTCAACAATACTTTCAACAATAAAAACAAAAGCCAAAACAAATACATCTAAAATTTACCATAATGTACTTGACAAACTTTCATTTAGAGACTAGCCGGAAAGATAAAGATGGTTGTTAGTTTTGGCTGCCTCACGTAATTAAATCTTTCAGTCTATGTCAAATATAGGCCAGTTTGGTAAACAAATAAATATAAACAGCCTATATTCTTCATGTTCAATAACAGTAACAATTTGAGCACAGGTTCCATTTGCAACAGTCTACAGCCTTATATTTGTATGCCAAGCAACTCGCAACTAGAAATTTATTTATCAACAGTTTTGCAGAAAAATATTCATTTCAACGATAACGATATCATTAGTACACTTTCCCTCAAACATATGTAACAGGTTGAATGCATATTTTACTTGAATATTGGTTAGTATGGCAGGGCATTATTGTTACAATATTGAAAAAAACCAACATTGTATGTCTTCAATTGTATACATATTCTACATGGATCAACAATTCATAAATGAAGGTACATTAGTTCACCAATTAGAAATTTCCAGTAAAAATCTTTTGGGTACCGATATTTTATTTCAAAAATATACATTACTATAGTTTAATACCTATATAGCTATTCACACATATGTATAGGATTGGTTATATTTAGCAACAAATATCTGAAAACAATTCTAAGTAGAAAGGAAGTGGTGATGATATTAATGTTTTTCATTTTGAACAAGAGGATGACTTAAGTCTGTATGCTTTTTACTATTATTGTTAATTTCCAAAAGTTCTTATTGTAGATATAATTCATCGTTCTCGATTATTGATGTCTTGTAACAAAAACTAATGAAATCAACACGGGGTAAATATTTCGAATATTCCATTTCCATGTGAAAGTTAAAATTAATGAAAAATACAAACAGTAATAAAAAAATAATGATTTTTGTTGTTCATTGGACGGTCAAGTATTCCAATTCGTCCTCCTTTCAACTTCCTACTCAGTTTTTCTGTTACTTGTTGACTTCTTGAACTTATTAGAGACATGAAATATATCTGAATAAATCAATATCTAATATATAAAAATATCGTGTCACAGTGTTTGTGTTCGCACTTCTCCAAAACGGCTAGACCAATTTTTATAATTTTTTTTTGTAAATTTGGTAGGTACGATAGGGCGTAGAGTATATTTCATACCGCTAGATGTTTCCGGTGTACCTATCTTTAATTTTTTTTTTCTATTTTTGATGACGATTTTTTTGTATTTGGCATCGAAAAATACCTATTAACAAATTTCTTCATTCAAAATATTCACTAGAAATAATTTATATAGCAAAACGATATTTGCTAGGTCAGCTAGTAAATAACTAATTTTAATAACTAGGTAACTTTTTTGAAATGATGATGCAATATTTTTAAATAATAAATATTAATGTTNTTTCATCGACCAATAAAATAAATATTTGAAAAATCCAAAAATCCAGTTTCAAGTTTAGTTGTGGGAGATAAAATTCGAGTAAAATATCAAACATTCAATATTTTCAAAATTTTTCGATTGCTTATTGCAAAAAGAATTGGTTTATTGCGTTTTCTGTATTTTCATAGGAATTACCATATTTCACATAATGTTGCAGCATATCGCTCTATAAGGCAAATTGCCGTGTTTAGGATATGTTGTCTTATCGATAGTTTCTATAATTTCCTTCTGCAACTTCAAATAATCCTCATTATTTCCATATTTGCTTTCGTACACTTCCAATACATCTTCCCTATGATTAACTTTAGGAATTATTTCTACATTATCTTGTTTTTCATCATGGTTTAGGTTATTAACTTCGTCTTCCCAAAACTCAAGTAAATCCTGTTCCCCACTCTCTCTTCTAGATAAGTTATTTTTCGTACTGAAAAGTGTGATTTCATCATCGTCATAATTTGCACTTAAATTTAGATCAGGAAGTTTATGAAAAACATGAACTTCTGTGTCCTTGTCACCACCAACACTTTCACAATATTCTTTATATATTGTCTTGGGACTTTTTAAAATTTCTGCGTCCGGAGTTGTTTCCCTTGTTTTAGACATCCATTCTTTTACTGCTTTCGTTATAGGATAACGCGTTTTCTGATCATCCACTTCCACTCCTTCGTCAACATCTGTACTTTTCTCTTCTTTATCCTTAGTCTGGTCTTTCAGCATTTCTCTTATTTCTGGGTTTTCTAGAAAAAATCCATCTTCTTTTGGTGATTCTGAAGCAGGTAAGTTTTTATTAGCTTTGATATTGTCTAAAGAAGTTGCTTCACTTACCGAAACGGGTACAAACAGTGGTATTTTCGTGAAATCTGGACTTTTTGAATACCCAGTTTTCTCAATGCTCGTCTCTCTGCTGGATATCTTGCTGAATATAGATTTGAAAAATCCGTCACTTTCATCAATATTGAGCGATTTAATTTTTCCTTCCAAACAACTATACATTCCCTTTTGAATCATCTTATCCAATTCTTGGGATATATCATCGTTCGTCTTGTCTGACTCTCCTACAAGGCTAGATTCCAATAGATAATCGAAAGAATCTACTAGATTCTTTCCAACGGCTGGGGACGTTGCAGAACCTACATTTGAAACCATAGAGGTTTTCGAGGATTTCTTCTTCCTCTTTTTGGAGGTCTTTTTCTCATCTTCGGTGTCTTTCACCGGCAATTTTTCATCTGTAGGCATTGATTTTATAGTATGTTCTTTATTTTTATTGGTCTCAACCAACTTTTCATCAAACCTAACTCCACTTTCAATTTTATCTTCAGTTTTGTCAGTTTTTTTTACAATTTTTTTAATGGGTTCTTTGATTTCCTCACAATTCTCCGATAGATCAATATCTGTAATCATTACCTTCTTTGTCAAAGGTTTTTGGGTACCTTTCTTGGATTTTTTCCTATCCTTGTTAGGGTGCGATTCTTCGATAATTCCTGATACTGGTTCTATTTGAGATTGTTTTGAAACTTCTATTTTATCATCTTCGGATAGACTGACATTCTTAGATTTTTCGGTATCCTCTACTAGTTCCGATTGTTCTTCAATTTCTTTGGATGGTCCATTTCCATTAGATATTTCGATTTTATCAACATCAACAACCATTTCACTCTCAATTTCCGTGACAGATTTGATATTTGGTATCATGTGAATATTTTCGACCATATTTGGTTCCGTTTGTGAAATAATATTGATAATTTCTTCAATTTTTCCGTTCTTAATTTCGATCTCGACAACATCTTCTTTTGGTGTAGGTATTACATCTACTAAGAGGCTGACGTCATAGCTTTCGAAATTATCATCTTTAAGGGAATGTTCATCCTCTCCACCATCAAAAGAGGTTTCGCTTTCCTCAGTATTTTTACTTTTACGTTTTTTTCGACTAGAAACCGAAATCCATTGATTTTGTTTTTTAGTCGGACTGGAAGTCTTAGTCGGAGATAAAGTTAACTCGGGAGTGTCTATTTGTGAGGAATATGTTTTCACGTTCACATCAACTTCACAATGTTTCACCGGTTTTTCATTAGATAGTGTGACTTCAAGATTTTGTAAACCATGTTTCACAGTAGGTTTTATTTCAGCATTTTGTACTGTTTGTGAATAAAACCTTTTGCTTTGGTTAGGTTTGAATTCGGAACTTCTTTGTAATCCATGAGGTTGCCATTTGGTCGTAACATTTTCGTTATGGGGCTTCCAGTTTTTCCGACTTTCAGAACTATTTTTAACTGACTCTTTTTCACTGCGCATTGTAGTTGTTTCGGTTTCAAATGGAAGAATTCGATTACCACCATCATCGTTGTTCTGATGGAATATTTTTCTTTGGGGAGAATTTCGAGGACTATTGTAAAATCCTCTTTTGTGATTGTTTTTGTATTTTTGGTTATTGTTGAACTGCTTGTCGAAAGGTTTCCTTTTTACAAGATCCAATTTTTCAGTATTTTCTGTTTTGGTTTCTTCATCTTCTTGTTTTTTCACAGCTTCTTCCAACTTCGACACGATTTTAGCTAAATCTATTGTTTTATTATTGTTCAATTTGTTTTCATTTTTCTCTTCTTTTTTCACAACCTGATCATCTATGATGTTGTTTGACTGACATACGTGGGCATTTTGATTTTCAACGTTGTTATCAACACTGGCTCTTCTGTTTTCAGTCTCTTCTTCGGATTTCGGTATGTTCGGAATGAAACCGACAAAGTTCGGAAACATTTTCGGATCGGGAGGTAGAAAGTTGATGGGTATTCCTGAGGGAATAAATGCTGGGTTGAAGTTTTGTCCATTAAATGGCACTACAGGTATAGGCACAAAATTTGGAGACACTTTGATAAATTGAACGGGACTGAGAGGAATTTCCGGTGTTCGATAAGCTCTTGGTATGAATTCTTCGGCATCTGGCTTCAAATCATACTTCTGTGTCTTTGGCGGATCATGGAGCGAGTTGTTCTCTTCAGGAAGATTGACATCTCCTGTTGAATTATTTTTAAAATCTTCAACGTTTCTGTTGATTTCATTGTTATTTATAACATTATTATCGTCTGTGCTTTTCTCACAATCTTCTTTCCTCTCATCACAGCCATGTTTGGAAGTTTGGTGATCGTCTTTGGGATCATCATTGGCTACTATTAAAGTTACTTCTTCTAAAGTTTTATTGGAATCCATTTCGGATATGGTTTCAACTCGATTGGGATCCGGAAAGCATTGAGGATTGACTTTTTTTTCAGAAGGGTTATCGTTTTCGTTATAAGAGTCGCTCTCTTCATCGCTGCATTCGGTACTTCCTTGTGATATCTGGGACTTTGAAGTCTTTCGACGTATTCTCTTTTTAACTTTACGATTTTGTTCTGCCGGGCATTGCTCAATCACATCTGAAATAAAGAGAAATATATTATTCAAGTTGTTTAAAGATGTTGGTACAATTCCGTTAATTAACCAATGCATTCACTTGCGTTATTGTACACTTTCTTACACAACAATATATTGAAATATAATAACTGCCCTCATTCATAAAGCCTTGTAAGTAGACAATCTTATTAGGATATATCGTAAGTTACCATCAAGGATCGTGTCAAACAGACAAATACTACCCTATGCCAAAAACAAACGAATTAGTGGAAGAAAATATACAGGCTTTTGTCATCTCTAGAATTACTACCAATATCCATTCAATTAGTGATAATTGGATCCAGCAGCTTTTAATACACATAATATACAAATGAGTCAAATGTTTTTGTTCGACCAGGCGTGGTACTTAAAAACAACAGCTACAGCCACATAAAAAGTCAGATCTTTGAAAAACTGAATACAAATTAATTTCCGTTCTAGAGTCCCAAAATCCAATAAAGATATAAATCCAAAACAAGCACACTTTCCAATTTACAATTCGAGTGGAAATCAAATGCCAAAAATAAAACATTCGTGATTCAACACCAGAGAAAGCTGTTTCTAACCGTTGAGGTCAGTACTGCTAGACTGAACCACGAAAGCATTGTTGAACTCAACTGTCTCATCAAGTGTTAAAGGTGATGCGTTCTTCCTTGCGAGAATGTCATCTATAAATGCTCGATGGAAGACTGAATTAACGAATATATCCTCCACAAAGCGGTCCATTGCCAAGCTTCGAAATCGACAGCCGACTATAGGCAACCAGACTCCAAATAAAAAGTATTTGTATTCCAAAATCGCAGAGGGCTGTTTCAATCCGCCAAGGTCTCATCAATGGTGTTAGACTGACCCACTCAATTGAGTAAGTTCAGGTGATGATATCTACTCTTACGAATACGTCATCTATAGGATCGACAGAAGACTCAAACCAATAATATCAAAAATAAACAGGTCAGTTGCAAAGACAAGTTTTGAAATTAACCGACGACTGATATTTCGTCTCATCAATGGTGTTTGGCTGAACCATGAATGCATTGTGTGACTCAACTGAGCAGATAGTTGGCTAGTATTGGCAATATCCTTGATATGGCCTCATATGGGAGTGATTCCTTTTCAGTTACAGATATGAGGTGGAATGCTCATGGTTGATAGTATTGGTATTTGACACAATTGGTTAGAAATAACTAGAATTTTCAACTGGATTGTTGGGAGTTGTTTCAGGGAAATTACGAAGGACTTTTAAGTACTATGTTATCTACTGTTTCTTGTGACTGATCCCTTATAGCAGGTGAAACACATTGTAAATATGTGTTTCAAGAACTCAATTATGTTTCGTCTTTATTATTCATAAGTCATGAACGATCTGACGTTTTGATATATTTCCGGACTGGGCACATGTTTGTTTGGCATCTTCTCAAAATATGTTGACATAAATTATGTATTTAGAATACGTACAGGAACCTGAAATTTCCAATTATATAATTCAGGTTATCTTTTGAAGATAGATATAGATGAATAAAAATAATGATTTTTTTTGCCAGATTGTGAAAAAGTTAGTCTCATCAATGTTCTACTAACGAGAAAAGTATGCCCCTATCAACCTTCAAAATTTTTTTTTCATCAATAACATCTAAATAGTTCAGTTCTGAGGACGTGCGTATAGTACGGTCTCCTACCAAGTTAGGCTCTGGAATAAATACTTTGCACATGAAGATTGAGAGCTACCTTCATAGCGAAACCTTGAAAAACCGGACAGGAATTGACGAAAGCTTTGAGACCAATCACTTTCAGACTAGTAATAATTCTTAGCTGCTTTCTTGGTTATTGAATACGTATTTGATGATATGACCTCAAAATTCATCATTCAAGGATTGAAGAGAAAAGGGATCGACGAGATAGGCTGTAAGTTCATAAATTGCATGCTTCGTACGGTAGTGTTACGAAGAGGTGCTGTGCACCAGTGGGGAGAAGACGTCTTCCACAAATGACATAAAGTACCTACTGGATTATGTAGATGACCTATTTATCCTAGTCCAGGATATACAGTGAGGAGACGTATGCAGCATCCCCTGACTGTTATAGCAGGATGGGTCGAAGAATAGCTAAACATAAGGTTATTCAAATTGACTATAATACTTTGGATGACCTTATGTCAGGGTCATTCATCAGATTTACTCAATTGTTCAATTTTTAATGTAATACGAATCACAGTAAAACTTTTTTTCATATCCACCACATATTCTTCGTTCAATATATTGACGAATAGCGGTAAATAAAAATTGAAATGCAGGTCCGGATTAAACAAACTAAACAAACAGAATCTCAAAACTTTATTTACATTTTGGAAAGAGCAGGGAAAGTTGAATTGCCCCAAATGTCATAAGTATTTTCGCTTACAATTCTATTACCTTACGACTCTAATGTAAATATTTTGGCACTAGTTCAGAATTGGAAAAAATATATGCGAGAATACCGAAGACATTCAAACTTTTCCTGCTTCATTTAAAAATGCAAAATTTCAGTTCGGATCTGGATTTTATTAATATTTATACGCTATACGGCACTATATCGAACAAAAAATAGATGTAGTGAAGGTTCACCGTGGTTCGTAAGGTATGAAGAATTATAGAGTTGGTTGACAATAAAATGCAAGAATTGAAGAATAGAGTAAATTTGATAAAACACCCTGAGATCCATTAAATATGGGTTATATAGCATTGGGCTTATCTACCTATAATGTATGTACATTTCTCATTGAAGAATTTCGATTTGGCAATGTTCAAAATATAGGTTGAGAAAAATATACCTGAAGAATCAGCAATCAATCGAAAACAAACTGCTTCTCTTTTTTTATGGACCACATTTCATTGCAGAATATTGAGGTAGTTTAGAGCCCATATGTTACTTATTATATTGATTCCAATACTAAGTAGGTATCCACATCGACAAAATTCTCGGACCCCTTATGTTTGTCTAAATGGGACACTATTATTATGAATCAAGAAGTGTATTACAAAGTACATTCAATTTGGTTATGTAAACAATGCAAATTGGCTGAGTTTAATTTCAACTGAATAAGAAAAAATACAATCGAAAAATGGTGCATAATGAAATGAGTACCAGAACTTTAAAACCAAAAAAAAACACCTCAGAGCGAAATCAAAAATGCTTTTATATTTGGTGTGTCCTCCTCTATTATGCAGCAAAGTGTTAACTCGCCTGTGCATGGAAGCAATAAGGATGTTCTATTCTTCTTAGGCCGCTGGTGTGAGTTCCTGAAGGATGATAGGAGGATTAATACAGTTTGAGATTGTTCGTTCAATGGAATCCCACATGTGCTCAATGGGATTCATGTCTGGCGAATTTGCTGGCCACGGTAATCTTGAAATATTCTCAATCTCTCGCGCGATGGGGCCTATCAATGGAATCAATAATGTTTCGAACATATCTATCCCCGGTCATATTGTCTGAAATGGGAATAAGCTGCGTACGACGACCATGCCTCTTCGAAACAATTCAGCCTACTTGTTGCCTCGGCCTTTTCCAAACTCTGTGTCACCGACTATCACTAACTAAGCCAAATCTGTTTCTTTCGTTCCAAAAAGGACATTTCGTCACTGAGCTGTGTTCCCGTTCCACTGTAGACGAGCGGCTATGTGTGTGAAAAGTAACCTGGGTAGTTTTAATGGTCTGCTGGATCGCAAATTTACTCTAGCAAGTTTTCGCCGTATTGTGGTACTGGAGATTAATCGACCAAACGTTCTTCTTGAATGAATTTAGACAGCTGGACCTGTTATGGTTCGATTCCGACGTACATATCCTGCTAGATACCAATCATGTTTTGCGTTAGTTACCCTAGGATGCCCAGTTCCACGTCTGCAGTCAAGGATGTAAGTTTCGTGGTATACAAACGCAATATTGGGATAACTGAAGCGCGTTGAAACTTTACTCAATCCGCGATTCGGCAGACCCCCATCATGCAAAGGCACTATCCTTGCTCTATGAAACACTGCAAATCTATTGCCAGGCATAATTGCAAAGAAGAACTGAACACTGAAACATGCTTAATTAGAGGAAATTGGTTTTGTAAACATGTTGAAATGCCTGGCACTAGTAAAAGAAATAAATATTAAATATACACAAAACCAAATTTCGTTCAACAATTTACGAGGGGGGTCCAAGAATTTCGGTGATGTATTTGGAAATGATAAAAATAGAATAGTAACAATTTACGGTTTGAATAAGAAAAATCAAGACTGGCAAGATTTTTGAGAAATTTCGAATGATACTTAGAATTCTTGCAGGACGAAATTAGTTCGTGTAATAGACAGAATGATGAGCACTGTGTAGTGTCAGTAAGATGGTGCACGCTTTTGTGTATCTGTATAGTCAACTTGAATCGGCTTCGGCCTTTAAGGGATCATGTACCATCAATAATTTTACCCCTACGATTTACTGTAACAACCACTCCTGGAATTGATATTGGAAAATACAATGAAAAAGGAAATAACTTTTTTTCTTGAATTTTTCATAATTCTGAGATGAGACGATTGAAAACATATCACGTGAGCATATTCATTGGGATTATAAAAAAAATTCAAGTATTTACCTTGAGGGTGTTGAACTCCATTGACGTAATAACCAGGATAGACCATATTGTAGACGCTGTGGTGGCTGCTGTAATCAGAAACATTGTTGGATGCCTCTCCACCACTCAAGTCTTGACTAGTTACTTCTTCGTTGTGTGGACTCGTCGATTCCGACTAGAAAAAAAAAAGGTATCAATGTTTGAGTCTCAATGAAAGGGATTGCTAGACGCTCAGGCAAGAGCGTGTGTTGGAGCTCTGCAGCTTATACGTAAAAGTTGAAGAGTTTTAAAAGTTTCAAAATTGATTTTACATTTTCAAGTGATCATTTCATTAGTAAATGTTTGGTTGATTGGACGTGGTGTCGAATCTACCGCTATTTTTTCATAAAAAAAAGTTGGATCGACCGCGAAAATCATCAACAACTTAATACTACATTTGGGCGATTTTTTACTACTTTGCTTACTTATAAAAAATTATTCATATTCAAGAGTTGGCATATCTTTGTCTAATTCAACAACATAAGAGATGGCAATCGAATATATTTAATATTGGTTATTTTGAGTAGGTACCTATGTTCTATGTATTTTTTATAAAATCTATTACTTTTTGGTCACCGTGTTTGAAAAGGTTAGAGCTAACATAACCACCCTAGGAACCTATGCGACTGTATTTCAAGCGGAAATTTACGCTATTGAATTGTGTGCGGAGACATTGGAAGAATCCAACCTCATACAGAAGTCAATAAAATATTCTCGAACAGTCAAGCGGCGTTGTAAGCTCTTGGCTCCTACCCAGCAACGTATAAATTGGTAGCAAATTACCAAAAAAGACTCTCCTCGATAGGAAGTCTTTTCAGATTATCTCTGGTCTGGATTCCTGGCCATACTGGCCTGGAAGGCAATGAGGCTGCTAACTTCCTTGCAAAGGAGGGTGCTGCAAGCAGCTTCATCGGACCAGAACTTATCATTGGCATCGCCAGATTGAACACCTGGATGGCAAGAAGATTTATGGACTTCTGGCAGAATCTTCCAGGATTGGCTCACTCCAAGTCGTTTACTCACCCTTTGAAGCTTGATACCAAACATTATTTGGACTACAGTAGGGATACGATATCTAACAGGCCATCTTACAGTTCACTGTCATTTGAATCATCACATGCAGAGACTTGGACTGTCGGAAGACAGTGTGTGTCGCCTCTGTTCGGAAAATGATGAAACAGCAGAGCACATACTTTGTGCATGCACCGCTGTGGACCGAATCATGTTTTTAGAGTTCGGCTGAGCCGTGCTCTTACCGTCTGTAAGACCACTCACCAAACAAACTAATCGGCTTCGTTAAGAAGCTGGGTTTATTTGGTTGAGTGTGAAGAGGTGTAAGACTCAATAAAGCCTTGCGAGTTGCGATGGAGGGTCGAATAGACCCACTCATTTTGGACCTAACCTAACATAACCTAACCTAGAGCTAACATTATCAATGTCACAACGTACGGACGATTTCATACACGAATAATTCAACAACTCTGATTTAATATTCACGATTTCAACATAATCGCAAAGTGATGGCTCTTAGAAGAACTTATAAATTAACTATTTTAATTGTTAGAATTTGAACCTTTGGCGTAAAATTCATCTAAAGAAGCCACATTCTACACACCAAAACAAAAACACTATCTCTCGACGCGTATTTCGCCAACGAAGTTAGCACCGTCAGGAGATCAAAAGCACTGGGGTCAATAAATGAGATTTCTGGTTTTGTGTTAATTTGTAATAATATCTTAGTTTCTGACTTATATGTTTATGACTACCTAGTACGCCATATTTACCTGGTTTCGGTAATCCCACGCTTTTTTCCGTCACATTGTCTTGCGAGTTGCTCGACATTTGTTGGGAGTGTACGAGCAGCAACAATTCAGAACAATACATTGTTGTACTTTGATTCTTATGGAAGAACTATGACCTTTGAGTCATTATATTTTTGTAAAGACTAGGATTTACGAAGATACTATATATCTGAAGAGAGATATTAGTCATTGAAACAATACCAGAACAGTTTGAAATACTAAAAATGCAGTATACCATACTTTGTCTGTACATTAAAAATACAGATAAGATAAATTAGATAAAGCTGTCCACATAGAACTTCTGAACTGTAATAGGGTCTAATACCACATGATGCAAGTCATGGTTTTTTCTGTTGTTTGCAGTCGGTTTTTTGGAATTGGCCAGATATAGTATCTCTGTTTGGACTAAGATTTCTGAAATGTTGAGTTTATTTGATGAATGTTGATCTATCATAAAAGATGGTTCACCTTGGAAATATTTTTGATTAGTTGTCGGAGTTTCTTGAGTCGAGGAAGCGTTTGGGGCATTTCTGATATCGTCTATGTTGGATGATACTGGCCTCACTATAGCTTAGGAGTGAAGCATGTATATCTGAAAAGTGTTCCCTACAAAATGCTGCACATGTTCACTTTGCTTGCCCTTAAAGCATGTCAGTTCAATCTGGCGTAGATCTTGTTCGAGAATATCATGTGGACCAGAAGGGTATACGTTGAATAGCTAAAAGCACTTGGATGGGGCAATAATTATTTTTGCTTGCACGACTTTGTTGGATATTGTTGAAAGTAATTTTTCCGTGATCTTTCATGAAATTATACACTATTTCAGTGATGAACATTAATATACGAACATATTCCTGATACAAACAGGATACTAATAATAATAATAATAATAAGCAGAGATGGCCACTAACAGCCTTGTCTTGGGTCCACAGGGCTATCCACCCAGTGGACCCAATACTTGGTTCCTAGTAATCGAGGAAGGGGCCCCCACAATCGACCCGCTCGGAGGGGTCAGAGGCAAGGTGGTGGGGCCCATAACAATGATTTGCCTACCGATGGCAACCCTTGCAATGACAACGGATGCTTTGAGTGGACGCATGAGCTAAGAGATAGCCGAATACTTTGCTACGAGAGTAGTGAGCCCGCGCGAAGAGGGTATATGGCGAGAATGCATGCTCTGTGATGTGAAACACAACCGGAGCATGCCGCCTTTTCCGCCTAAAATCTTAGGGATTACGTATCCTACTTTCGGCGGCGGGGCTATATAGTTCCTTTCCAGTCTACTAACGAATTGGTAGTGACAGTTCTACCAACTGTTGGCACGGCTGGAGTGGAGACTCGCGTCATGCCACCAATTGAGTCAATCAGAACACGCAGGACGCGCCACAGAACTAGGCCCCTGAAGCCACAAGAATTGGCTTGTTTGGATGCAGAGGTTCATAGTGTTCTAACAGAAGAGAATGACATCTGACAATTTAACACCGCCCGGTATAGCGTCGTCCAATCGCTTTCCGAATCGGAAGGACGAAATTCTGGCCTTGCGGTTCGGAACACTGAACGGCGTGTACACAAGATGGATACTAAGAAACGTTGGCGAGACAACACGTGACTCGTATCCAATGTGTGATGAACTACACACCTTTCATGTCCGCAGTGCGGCGAATAGCCACCAAACTACGACGTATCTATCACACTTTAAGTCAAGGCGTGCTGCTGACCACCAAATAGCACTGCCTTGATAGGATACAAATGCTAGTGGCTGCTAAGTAGTCACTAGTTTGGCGAGCAAGTATCGCGGAATACCTTGACTCCGCATGTTCTGGATGATCCGCCGACCGCTGATCAGGTGAAATCCTTCAGGAAGGACATCTACGAACAGCCGCAGCCACTCAACTTAGACCGTTCCCACCCTCAAAAGCGGAGATTTGTGGATTCCTATAACACAAATTCGTGTTATAAGTTGTTTACGAACATCTTTTACACACGAATACTCACCGCAGTTGACCGAGTACCTATTCGAACGGATATATGAGCATTAAAACTGTAACATAGTAAACGTCATAAATTTGATGTGATGTCATGTTCCATAAACTACATAATAAACAAGTTAAATAGGGGAGGTTATTTTACATACTCACCGTAAAACTGAATTTCACTAGCTTATCAGTAAACAAATATTTGCACGTTTCTTCATCTTAAGAATACTGTTAAGGCTGTTTTACATCAAGACGAACGAAATAATCCAGTACACAAATGAATGCAATCCAATTAGTCAAATTCATTAGTCCTTGACGTTATTGAAATTATACTTTTAGATCGCCCTGTGCAACCACGTCTATTATCGTCAGTGCCACTCAATTACATATGATATATTTCACATTTTCCACTCGGCAAGCTTTTTGTAGGCCGACGCCAATTTAAGATATCAATTGCCTTCAGGTTACTTCATATTTATGAAAAGATTATTATTTATTGTTTATGAAGAGTTAAGAACGGGTGTTTTCATATTTTCAGTGACAGACTTGTGTCAATTATTAAAATTCTCATTGAAGCTTCTTTACGAAATTTCTGTGAAAATTGTAAAAGCAGTCAAAACTTAAGTATCGCCAATTTTATTTTATATTACTTCTAAATCATTCGAAGGTAGAATAGTTCCAAATTAAATGAAAATTGCAAAGGTTTCGCCCATATATGAAAGTGGCAAAAGAAAGGATTTATATAATTATCGACCAATTTCTGTGCTTCCAGTTTTTGTAAAAACAGTAACCTTCTATATAAAGGTCAATACGGTTTACGCAGATCTAGCGACACAGAGACAGCGGTAATGGATGTAGTGTCACAAATTCAAATAAAAATTGATTAAATTAAGAAATGTTGTCTCTTGTTTCCTCGATATGTGCAAAGCTTTTGATTTAGTTGACCATAGTATATTGTAAAAAAA